TACCACTTGCTCATTATATGTATACCACTTCTAGTTGAAGAGGTTTCACTCAGGTTTTACATTGCATCTCTATCTCTTTTTGCAAGACAATTCGGGTCTCATATGGTCTGTTTCATCTACCACCGCAAATAACCATCCCTCGCCGCTGTCCCCAGCTCCCAGCTGGGCTCTCCAGCTCGCCACGGCTAGCATCTTGTTTGGCCTGCTTGGCCCGGGCTGGGGCGGAGGTCGGCCTGGCATGAGAGGTCGACAACGAGGAACAACAGGCGTGGGAAATCAAAGATCAATTCAATTCACGCCCCTAGTACTAGGGAGCATCTCAGAAACTGGTAAACAATAAAGGAAGTCTGGATCTCTGTCTGTTTGCCCAAGATTAAATATCAGCACTGATAGGCTATTGATATGGCGGTGGTCCAGGGCTGCTGTATATTGACTCCGGAAAAGCTTCTGGACGAGCATCGTCACATCTCTCATCAGCGGTGGGGGATTTCTCTCCCAAAAGGACCGTAGCAGTTATCACAAGTTGCAAGGACCACGCATCTCAACAAAAGCATTGTTCAACACTTCAAGTAGTTGGCACCTAGGAGCTTCCTTGTTCCTAGTACAGTAGTACGGCCAGGAGCCCCTAGTAGCTTCTTGCTACAATTCAACAAAGGTCTCAAGGACCTGTTCCTCCCTGTCCCTGCCTTGCTTGCGGGACTCGCTGATTCTCTTTGCCTGACGAATGTCCATGTCCTTGCAGTCATCAAGCAGGCCTCCTCCTAACATATGCATGACTCACTGTATGACATTAGCACCCCTCTTGCTGAGAGCGACAAGCCTTTAGGAGGGGAACTATGCCAGAAGCATCAGTACCCAACGGACTTGCTGGCGAGTGAAATTGGCTGGCCACAATCCATCGTGCTCAGCAACCTCATGAAATCTAGAACCAACTGCGGCCAATGCTGGGCCTACCTATCCAACCCTGCAAACGCTGAAAAACTCCGGTCTTTGCTTTGTGTGCTGTGCCACTGCTATGCCTCTTCTCGGCCTAAGCAGTGTCAAAACCATTCAAAACTTCCGTTCATAGTTTTGGGCATGCCAAATGATCTCAATGTGGTCCGCCAACCCCACCCGTCACCCGCCTGCCGTTCGCGGAGTGCGTGGTGTCCTGGGACTCGGCCTGAGCGGAAATGACACGACAGTTGCTTAACTTGACTTTTGAGAGGCTCTCCCTGTTTACATCTATTGAATGCACCACTATACGAGCTCCAAATCGACTCCGGTTCCTGTCAGCAACTGAGGAGGGTTGTGCCATGCCCCTCAGAACATGGCAAGCCGTGTATGTATCTGTCCCTGTGCGCTTGTTTGTGCATAATATGTTTACATAATATATAATATGTCAACTGCATATATACAGACGTCTTGAAGGGGCTGGCTTCATCGATGTCAACTGAAGGGGGAAACCGCAGCACAGTGCACATCAGCAAGCCGTCGGCTGTTTCTCCGCTCTGTTGGACTCGGTCGAGTGAAACCGAAGGCAGGCAGGCATTTCAAGAGCTGAAGTGGGCGTGTCATGTCGCAGAATGACTGACCCCAACCAATCGCTGTTCAGATGTGTTCAAGTGTTCTGATCATCCCCATCATATCAGCATTGTTTGGGGGAGGCGCGGCTGTTTAGATCTACTGTAAGGCGACATTTTCAAGTCAGATTACCTACTTGCACAACCACAGTTCCAAACCTCTACCAATGCTCTACCATAATTAAAGGCATGTCGAGTCTCCTCGAACAATGGTCCCTGAATCCCTGAACACACCGTCCGCCGTCCGTGCGTTAGCCTGCGCCAGAGGCTAGGAAAGTCAGGCAAGCAAATGAAACCAAGGATGTGGACTTATGCACCGACATGATGGTAAAATTTCGACTGTCGTCCAAGGATTGTAGAAGTGTATACAAATGCAAACTATCAATAACTGTAAAGCCTGTGAAACCAAAGTTTTTCTTACCTCAAACTTAGGATTTCCTCAGTGAGCACATTTCTCGCAAAACATATCAAATCGCAAGACCCTGGTTATGACGAGTCCACTGGCCCAAGAACAACACAAAAAACATCAAAACACAATCAGCGCTAGTCACTGCTGGCCCGGTTATCCGGTCACTTCAGGAAGCCTCTTTTCAACGCTGCCATCACTTTCGGAAGCGCCTGACCGGGCTGGAGAGTCGTTGACGGTCCGATATATGGATCTTGTGGGTTCCAGGTTGTTAGGGAGTCGAGAGCGGCTCTCAACCTCCAGGTCGATGAAGTGGAGACCCTTCGGAGTCTCGTGGCCACGGCACACCGGCTCATCAAGCAGGTGATGTGGGAGATGGAACTGCACAACTCCATGTGTCCCTTCTCCAGGGACATCGTGACCTCAAAAACTGCTGCCTGCTGGCATCATGAGACGTGCCACATGGTGGACCAGATGACGGGTCCATTGTACGTGAGAAGGGCATGTGCTTACTGTGCAATGCACAGGCCGCCGCCTGATAGGACTGATGCCCAAGCTCGCACCATACGTCCTGAGCTGAATGCCTTCCTTGCTGCAGCATCGGCATGGAGTGAGGGATAAGCTTCCCCCCATGTTGAGACTTGAGACGCACGCTGTGCGTCAAGCTGACATGTCATGTCACGACTTTTCATGACTGTTTGTACATGAAGCCCATACACGTTCCACCGAGAGGGTGGGCTCAAGAGCTTTGGAAAAGCTGCGTGTGGCGTTCATTCGCCTACCGCGTCGACTCCGTTCGTCGCACTTTCTTTCCGTGTTGGTCGTGGACCTCGTGAGCTACGACCTTGTTTCTACATGGACAATTTTGGACATTTGGATTCACATGTTCATGTCCCTGGCTGAGCGCAAAGCATCTGCACTGCGTTGTTGTTCTTGGTCAAGTAGGCCACGTAGCCTGGAGTGGACGACAGGTTCGTCTTTCTGGATCTCAGCTTCCTTGGTGAGTGGTGCCTCCTTCTTCTTCTGGCCTGGAAGTGGCACAGTCCAGCGACCACACGTGAAGACGCCGGTCATGATGCACACATGGAGGAGGGCCAGAATGGCCAGCCACAGCCACAACTGACTTCCATCTTCCGTGTCTGACGGAACTCCTTTCTCACATTGCTGACCTTTTGCCACAGTCAGCGTGGAAGCTAGCAGCAACATCACAAGGACATTCGAGAAGCGACCCTTAAAGGAGGTATCCCGGAACCAGCCGCCATGGCTCATGGCGTACACATAGGTCAGGGGCTCCACATTCTGTGAGCAGAAGACTTTCACAGGGGTCTCTTCATACCTTGGGTGGTCATCATCAGCAAAGATCTCCGGATACTCAGTCACATCGACATTCTCAGGGATCTGCTCATCAACAGTAGCCTCATTCTCGTGATCAAGTCGAGAAGCAGGTAGGCCCGCCTGAGTCGTCTCAGCGATGGCTTTAGCCTTTTCGCTCTTCGTCTTCTTCTTCGAGGCGACATAGTCAGGATCGCAGGTGAGCTTAATGCGACGGTGTCGTAGTCGGGCGGCAAGCAAAGCCCGTGCAGACTCCTTGGTGAGCCCGTCCCCCACCTGTCTCTCTGAGCTCATCCAGCGAAGTTGACCTCCAAGTTCTTCCATCATTTCCTTCATCACGCGGATCTCGAGGCTGACCCGCTTATCGATCACGCTGGAGCTAACCCCTCCCTGTGGAAGGAGTCGTACAACGCCTTGGCGTCTGTCACCACGGTCGGCTTCAAGGCCGATGCCGACTTCAGAAGCTCCTTCAGCTTGAGGTTGGGATGATGGAGGTAGTGCCAGTACTTGCACACGAAGTCTACGCTGTCAACGGCCTGGCCTCCAGCTTGAGCTTCGGCTGCAAGTGAGCTTCGAGTGACCCTGGGAGTGCGAAAGCTACGCCAATCCAAAACATGGTATTCCCCATCTTCACCAGACTTGAACAGCTGGCGGTTGACCAACATCAGAATGTAGCCACCCTGTGAACTGCCGTCTGAGCGGGCAGTGAAGCCAGCATCAAAGAAGCACAACAGCTGCATCTCATCGGCGTGTCCGATGAAGTTGTAGTAGAGGCTGACGTCTTTGTGTTCCTTTGCGAACTTCAGCAGCCGATTGATTGCACATCGACTGTCTGAGTCGTGGCCTTGTTCACTTGCCCGGACAACATGGAGGTCGAGCACAGTAGATGGGGCGAAGTCTGAACTGCCGGCCATTGCATGGAACCAAGAATGCCACGGACCTGAGTGATCCCCTTTTCATCCAAAGGTTCGTGAGGACCACGGCGCTTGGAGATGGTGATGGGCTTCACCTTGCTGATGTAGTATTCCTGATGAAGGCGTCTGCCACCCTCAGGACCAGGAGTTCGATCCAGCTCGCAGCCGCAGTACTCCGGCTTATCCATGTCCTCCTTCCATTCACGGAAAGAAAAGGTGGCGCGCAGCATGTCGGTGACTGCTTTGTACCTTGGGGAGCGTGGACAACCTGCACCAAGCATATCATCAACGTGCATGATGACCATTCCACACAGCTTCTCAGGACCAAGGGCGCTGGTCTCTTCATGGACTGGGTCCTCTGCAGTGAAGTTGTGGGATCATCCTTCTCGTAAATGAGGAAGGCGCAGGGATCCATGGAATGGATGCTGTCGCAGACCTGCACGGAGCAAGCGATCAACCGCTTCCAAGTACCAGCCACGAGGTGCATCTGTCTGACCATAGCATGGTTTCAGCAAAAGCATCCTTGTGTCCTCCGTGGCTCCCAAAAGTTGCAGTGCCTCGGAGGGAAGTTTGGCCCACAACTCACGTGTTTGAGGACATCCTTGAAGGAATGCTGTGCTCACATCAGCTGTCCAAGTTGGCCAACGGAGGTTCGCAGCTATGGACAGCACCATAGATCTCGACAGTCTTGTCGTGGTAGGTGAGGATGTAGGTATGGTGCCTGCCAAGGCGTCTGGGTCAGTGAACCCTCGAACTATCAATCGAGCCTTGGCTCGTGGTGCGCCGTCTTCATTCTTGGACCACTTGAGCAGAATCCTTCAGGTCAGGGTTCGAGCTTCGTCGGCTTCAGCTGTCGTCTGAAAAGCCCAAACTCCGTGGTCGAAGAACGACTTTGCCTCCTTGAAGGGTGCACGATCGTGAGGACCCAGAAGCCTCTCGTTGACGCCACTTTTGTCTTTCTTGAACTTCTTGAGGCAGGCCTTCTTCTGTTCTTTTGCAACTTGCCGAGCACTGGTGCGAACCATAGGTGTGCTGGTGTACATGGCCATCTCTCGTCTTGTCGTACCGGAGAGCTGAAAGACAGTTGCGCCAGTCCAGCAGCCGGTGGTGCCCTCCGGAGGTGAGGTGACTGTGCCATCATCTGTAACAAGTTGACTTCGCCCATCAGCCAGGTGCACCATAGTGATCTTGATCTGGTCGAGCTGTTCTGGTGTCACCGGACAGTCTTTGGGGTTTCCAATGTGCATCCGACCCCGGCGAGGTACAACGTGATGGCGAATCAAGCAGCCAGCCTTCAGTTCTCAGTAATCGGAGATCCGATCACTGAGTTGCAGGTACCCCTGCTCATCCATGCGCCAACCAGAAGGCAGTGAAGTGGTATCAAGATTCTCAATGTAGAAGGCTTGACCATCGAGCTGCTCTGGTGCTGGTAGTGGAGGGGCAGCTGGTGCTGCACTCTCGGATCCTTCAGTGGCAGGATATGGCAGTTGGACTTGATGTCGTCGATGACGGAAGGGTGCAAAGCTCAAAGTCTCCTGACTGTTGAAGCGCAGCCGCTGTTGTTGGAAAGTCTCTGCAGGCTGTGATTCATATAGAGCAGCAGTAAGCAGGATCCAAGATCGGGTTCTGAGACGGCCCAACCGGTGTTGGTGGTGTTGTCTGTGCTGCTGGAGGTTCCTCGCTAGGTTCTTGGCTTGGCTCTGAAAGATCATCATCATCGCCTGGTACCGGCGGTGGCGATGTGGGTGCCTCTGCAGCCGGGCCTGATTCCGGTGCAGTTGGAGCCTCGGTCTGGGTTGGTGCCGGATCTGTCTCTGCTGGTTCAGGCGGCTGTGCCTCAAGTGCAGATCCATCGTCAGTCGGGGACGTTGGCGGGGAGGAGCCATCTCACGCTCGGACTCTGTGTCCAGGTGTGTGCCCTCGCCATGTTCATCATCCTCCACATCAGCCAGGTTCTGCCGGTTGACACGATGAAGGTCATAGAACCTGGTCACACCTCGAGACTTCAGCTGCCGGACCGTGTTCAAGGCGGTCTGCGTGTCCTCGATAGCATGGTTGAAGCTCTTCACGTCAGCTCTGACATGGTGAGGAGCGCAGCGGATCAGCTGGGTCTTGAATGCAAGCCAGTAGACTGACACAGGTCCGTCTGAGCCTTCAGTGGTAGCTCGGCGTTCTTTCATCACAACTTGAGCAGGCCCCAGCCAGCGGATCTTGACCAAGTCTGGCTGTCGAGCGTCACGCCAGAACCACACATGTTGACCCAGGGCATACTCAGAGTTAGTCCCCTTGTACTTGAGGTGTAGAGCTCGACGGAGACGTCGATCAGCGTCTGCATCATTGAGGGCCTTGCGAGCAGCATGGCGCTTGGTAAGCATCTCCTCAAAGGTCTGGTTGCCTCCAAAGTGAGCAGGCTGTGTGGCATCAGACAACAGGTCACCGGCCAAGGAGGGCTGGTAGCCAAGTACCCACTGCGAGGGCGAGAAGCCAGCAACACCAGGCATGCTGTTCAATTGGGGAACCACGTAGGTGAGTGCCTGTTGAATTCCGGCTGATCCATCGAGCTTGAGGTCGTTGAGATAGACCTCAACTGCCTCGAATGACAGCATGCCTCCGCTCCACGATCGCAAGGCGTTCGCCGGAGCCACATTGTGCTTGATCTGGTGGGCAGCTGTCCATTCATCCATCTGAGTACTGAGCCAGCCACGGCCTTCATCTGTGATCAAAGTGCCAGGCGGACCAAAGTGTGCAACCCAGGTGCACTCCAGGGCCTTGACATAGTTGTCAGTGTGCTCGGAGTGGATCAACGAGGCAGCCGTGTAGCGAGTCGCACTGTCTACCAGGCTCATGATGGCATACTTGTTGGAACCTCGGCGAAGCCACATGACATCGGCCTGAAGCACCTCATTGAACTGCTGTGTTGTGGGCATCGATGCAGGAGCAACCTGTGCTGTAGGACTTGGCAGCCTGCAAGATGGTGTCAGACGCGCCTCTAGCTTCCAGCAGTTCTGTCAGGGCTTGAGGTGATGGATGTCCCAGGTTCCGGTGTAGGCGTTGCACAGTGCGAATGGCGTCTTGCTTAGTTTCACTCCGCAACTTGACCAGGGCACTTGTGGTGTCACGTTCATCTTCGGCAGCGAGTCTTTCTCGTCCACTGCAAGGGCGGCGGCCAGGGTGGCAGCAAGAGCCGGTTGGTACTCCCCAAGGTAGCGAGTGCGAGAGCCGTACCCAGGAGCTGCTCCTTCCAGGGGACAATGCTCGTGGTCACGCTGACACTGAAGGGACATTGCATCCTGGACTGCCTGCTTGGTGGTCAACAAGGACGTGTTCTTCTGGACAGGTTTCCAGATGCCATCAGAGTCCATGCACTGTGCACCATAGCCGCACTGCGAGAAATCAGCTCGACGGCCTGGTAGGTCACGTGGTGCTTTCGTTTTCCAAGACATCGCATGTTTCGGCTGCTCGATGGTGGCATGTCGGCCTCCAGCGACCTGAATCAAGTAGCCGCGGCGAACAAACATCAGGCGGCGGTCATGGTGGTGTTGACGAGCCGCTGTCAGCCCCTCCTTCTCTTCTGGGATGGTGTTCTTCGACCAAGCGACTGCATACGACTCCACAGCTTGCACTCCGGTGCAACAAGAAGTTCATCAGGAGCCTCCTCTTCAAGCAGTCGAAGAAATGCATCTTGATGGTGCAACAGCTCGAAGTCCCACCCAGTCTCATAGGAGAAACACCGAGTCTCCATGCCCAGGCTCTCAGCCATCTGTGCTGTTCGTGCCTTGCCACAGTAGACTTCCCACAAGATGCGAGGTCGTTCGGGGCGATGAAGTTCCTTCAGTTCCTTCGTGACATAGGCAGACAAGTGAGTGGCGAGCAGGACATCCATGGTCTTCAACTCGTGCTTACGCAAAGGCCTGGTGGAGTGTGGACTCACCGGTGCATCGGCCTTCTCAAAGGAGGTGAAGCCATGTTCAGCCGTCAGGGAGTCTTCGAGCTTGTAGCCGTCGTTCTGTTCAACCCCTTGGTCATTGGTCCTGAGCTCGAACTCTGGCTTCTCAGGGTTCTACTGGAAGCGCTGTCATGCTCATTGGTGAGTGACCACAGGTATTCGCCTTGTCTGCCCAAAGTGGCGGGCATCCATGGTGAACTGCCAATTCGAAGTCGTCGCTGAGCGAAGTCCATGGTCATGCCCAAGGCCTCAACGATCGGCCTGCCACACAACATAGGCGTGTTGCCAGGAAGGAGGAAGAGTTCGATGGTTCCGAACTTGCCATCCACGAACGTTGGGATGTGAGCTGACCAGTCAGACCACAGTGAGGCGTCTCCTCCAAACTGAAAACGGCGTCTGCCCCTGCTCATCTTGATGGTCTCGACAGGGAAGTCCAAGGAGCGCAGGTGGTCAAGGAACCGGCGAAAGGGTCCATAGCCGGACAAGAAGGCGCTGGCGCCGGGATCCAACATCACACACTCTGGCCGTTCAGCTCCGGTGGAGTCCTGGAAGATGAGTAGTGCACTCTCATCAACTGTCGAGGTCATAGCCATCGCCTCAGTGGTGGATGCAGGGCGCTTGACTGCCGGCGATGTGGCCGAAGGGCTCGAGGACGATTGAGGGCAGTTGGCTGCCCAGTGCCCCACCTGACCACAGCGAAGACATGTGGGGTCAGATTTTCCAGCTCCTTGTGGTGGATAGCGGATGGTGGTCTTGGACTTGCCGCTCTTGGAGCCCCCTTTTCCTTTCCCTTTTGATTGCTAGGGCATAGCCGGGACTCCACCATCCGTCAAGGCGACAACAGGAAGGTATCCACGAGCTGTCTTCAGTTCTTGAAATCGACGTCGGGCATCACTGTACGATGCAAAGGCAGCATTGTAGTCAGCAGAGATCTGTGAAGGACTGTGCTGCTTCTTCTGACACCGGCCAAGGCTCTTCTTCACCATAGTAACCTGCATCATGGTCGAAGTCTTGACTTTCTTCGTAGGGCTCGAAGTCTTGTGGGGCCTGATCATCAGCCCAATGCTCATCTTCTTCATAGTAGCCATACTGCCATAAGTCATCCTCCTGGTATAGATCTTCTTCACAGTCTTCAGCTGCATAGGCGCGGTGCTTCCAGGAAGGGGAGTGGCCTCCAAAACGACGATTGCGTTCAGCATTCCATCCTCCGCCCTTGAAGTCCTGGCCAAGGATCAGGTACATGGCCTCGATTACATCCGTCTTCTCCAAATTGGGCGCGCGCAATGTGATCAGTTGTCGTTGTTCTCGAGAGAGGCCTGCGCGACGGAGCAAATGCCATCCTTGAACAGAGGGAGGAAGTTCAACGCGGTGCTGCTGCAACTTTCTGTAAGCTTCTTCGTGATCGGCCACGTACAGCAAAAGTGTTTGGCCTGGGGTGCGTTGCAGCAAGTTGAAGTATGACTCGAAATCAGTGGGCAACTGAACTTTGGTGTCATAGGCGAAGTTGGCGTCGAGGGTCGGGATCACCTCCTCAAAGGCATCAGATTTCTCAAGTTCTTCATGCCCCCAATCCTGAAACAAACGCCAAGTGACACCTGTGAAGGAGCCCACGATGTTGAGCACACTCTCCGCGGACCGCTTGGTCAAGGCCAGCTTGCGATGGTATAGATGAATCCTTGCCCTCCATTCACGATAATCGGCCGGCTGGCCGGAGAAGATCGGCACATAGCTGTCCCTCAAGTCCAAGAAAGGTGTGCCGTCTTTGGAGCTCGAACCCGTGCCCGCAGCTTGGGCTCCTTTCTTCGAAGCCACGTTGGTGTTCTCAGGGACAAAGGGCTCTGCAAGGACGTGGTGTGGAAGCAGTAGAAACAACCAAGCTAGAGCGAGAACTGCCAACCTTGCCACGGGACTCAGCCGGGACGTAGAGCTCGTGGTCGCGAAGTGCGCAGTACGGAGCCACCAGATCGGTGGCTCCGCCACCAATGTAGAAACAAGGTCGTAGCTCACGAGGTCCACGACCAACACGGAAAGAAAGTGCGACGAACGGAGTCGACGCGGTAGGCGAATGAACGCCACACGCAGCTTTTCCAAAGCTCTTGAGCCCACCCTCTCGCTGGAACGTGTATGGGCTTCATGTACAAACAGTCATGAAAAGTCGTGACATGACATGTCAGCTTGACGCACAGCGTGCGTCTCAACAGTCCAAATATTCCAGTGCAAGGTTGCACATCTGGTCCAAGTGACATCAACGATCACGATCTGCGTGAGAAAAAAACACCCTAAAAAATAAACACGGAGCGTCGTCCAAGGTGTTTGGCCTCCGTTCGATCTCCTGGCGTACTTCTCTGTAAGCCTGCTCTGCTCGATGGACCGCCTCAGCAGGAAAGTCATATCCGGATTTCTGACCGATGCGTCCTGAATCCTCCTACCACACAGCCTCATGCCCTGGTCAAGTCCAAAACAACGAACGAACCCGCATTTGGACCACGAAGTATCTTCGCCACGCTAAAATTGGATTGCTTCACAGAGCCCTGAAGGGAGTGAGCTTAAAAATGTGTGTAGATGCCCCAGTCAACAAAAACTATTAGCATCCATTGGCGGCTATTGGCAAGTCAACCGTCTGCTGTACCTCGGACTTTGTCATCTGTTCCAAACCTTCGTAATCGTTTCTATTGGGGGATCAGCTTATCTGTTCAACCTCTGAGACTGATGCAATTTTCACGTATGTATGGTCGTGCTATTCTTTGGATGGACCTGTCACAAATCGATGCGTATGAGTGCTTGCTCATCGCATATCCTTCAAAAAAGGATGGACAAGGTCACCAGGACCATGAGCAAACAAACACTGAATCCTGACAAAAAGAGAGCGCCCTTGCTACACAACGAATGCCAACCACCTCCTCAGTAACTTTCTTTAATTATATATATATGTATATATATATATATCACCCGAACCCCCTATCCCAACACTACATGCGTTCACAAGTTTCCTTCACAATCAAAGAAACACAATTACTTTTTAAAACATATATATATATAATATATATTATGCATATACATATAAAGCTACATTTAAAAACTATATAATAAAACTGTAAATTGATATAAACTGACTGATGCCTTATGATGCATTGGAGGACTTTCTAGTCATAGAATGCCAATGTTTGGCGCAGGGGGGCCCACTTGCGGCTGGCCCCAGTGCTGTGGGCTGCAGCCCGCACAACAGCTTGGCATCCAGGCGTTGTTGGCATAGGTCACTTGCCGCTGCCAGAGGATTCGGTTCGTCTTGGGCGGGTCCCCTCGTAGGTTCCCCTGATTTAACCGTGCTTTGCGGAGCGTCTCAGCAAGCTCTGCCTCGCGCTCCTGGGTCAAAAAGCGCAGCAAACATGGCAACTGTGTGGCTTAAACACGTCTGGTCTTGGTGGCGCACGCCCCTTGAAGGCGAACAACAGACTGTGGGACGTTTGTTCGGGTTCGTGCTTCAATGTCAAAACTATGCAACTTGATCTTACGGAGCTCAGACGTGCATGCTGGGAGTGAAAAGAAGGCGATTGAACGCAACACATGTGCCTGTGATCACGGCATCATGAAATCAAAATTTGAAAGCTATGCCAGCGTAGACCCCAAACATTTTGTGCATTTTTGTAAGTAAGCCACATGTCAAACAGTCAACGCCTCAACCCATTCCACCATCTCGTTACACTTGTCTCCCACTTGTTTCGGCGAACTCTGGATACGCTTGGCCGGATGTTTTTCCCGAAGGTGGCGGCTGGGGTGCTGCTGCCAGATGTTGATGGCAGCTGGGTGCTGGCCCCGCTGCAGGGTGTCACAGTTTGATGCCTATGGCTTCTGGCATGTCCCACCGCCACTACGACGACTACCACTACGTCTTTGTCACATTTGAATATCATTTCTTCAACACAGTAGTGCGCTACTAACACTATGACGACCATTGGTACATTGAGTTTTAGCAAAACTTAAGAGCCATGTGCTGATGGGCACCTCAAACCATGTACGCTGGTATGCGCGGTGTCCTGCGCGCTGTTGCGCGTACGGTTGCGCGGTTGTTTGAACAGTGGTCCGCGCGGTTGCGTGTACGGTTGCGCGGTTGCCTGTACAGTGGTCCGCGCGGTTGCGTGTACAGTTGCGCGGTTGCCTGTACAGGTGGCCCGCGCGGTTGCGTGTACGGTTGCGCGGTTGCGTGTACGGTTGCGTGTACGGTTGCCCGGTTTCTTGTACAGTTGCATGCGCGGTTGCTGGTACGGTTGCAAGGTTGCGTGTACAGTCAGGCTGTTGGCATATGGACTTGCACAAGCATGTGTCTCAGAAACTCAAAGTTTTTTTCTGCTATCTCGTGAAGTCTCTCTTGTCAATGTGACCCAGCGTCAATTTGCCCAGCTATGGTCACTGCTTGTGAAATTAACTGGTTCCAAAGACCAGTCTAAAGCAGGATGAATTTGATTGAGCACATATAAACAGTTTAAAGTTTAAAACAAGTCTATCTATATTATATTGTTTTTTTTGTGATGTTCCTGTTCTGCTGAATTTGTTTGAAGTGTGAAATGTATCCATAATCCTGCGAAGCAAAAACGCAACCCACAATCCACAAGTTCTCTGTACTTTTCTGAACAAGTCTTTCCGTGGACTGCAGGCCAATTCAAGGCTCTCAGTCATCTGTGGCTACCCAGCCTCAGACAAGTTGGCGCACATCACAAGAGCTGTTTCAAATTCAAGCAACACACTTCAAATCGACAACAGACAAATTCAAACACAAATCACAAATTGTTTCCTGAAAGCTGTGCAGAAACTGTTCTACCAGGTCAGCAATCTGTCCTTCATCCTCTGACTCACTGGCCGTTGGAAAATCCAATTCCAATAAACACGCCAAGCAAACTGCCAAAGCCACAGTAGATGTAAACCTAGTTGAAAGTTGAAAGAACACGCACAAACACAGGTTGGGTTGAGCAGCCGTCATATTTGTATCAGTTGTATTTGTTTGTATGAGTCATGAAGGTGAACTTGGCTCCACTAGTGCAGTTTCAGCTTCGAATTGCCGGCAAGCTCAGTGAGCTGCATCTCGCTAAACTGGTCGAGGATTTGTGTTGGGAACTGCAACCCTTGTAGTACCAGCAGCTCTCGACCTGCAAGGTAGAAAGATATACTTCCAACTTCCAACAAATACAATCATTCCAAACTTCGTTTGTTCAAGCAACCTACTGTGGATTTTTTGTAGTAGTTTTGTTATGTTAACTATTTTTTATATTATAAATTATAGTTATATGAATATGTTTCCTTACTGTTGGTAGGGCTCCTGACCACTGTCCATCTACTAGTTTCAAAGTTGAGGTCCTGCCTAGCAGTAGTCGCTGCCTCTCAAGATCCATTACCCGCGCTGAAGGTAGGATAGTCGGCAATACCTAAGCGTTGATGTGTTCAGGTCTCATTCAGTTCAGTTTGGTTTGGACAGTGCACAGTAAACTGCAAAAGTTAGGGGCAAGCTCAACTGACCTCACAGTGAAGTCCGCAAACACTATCAAACTCAATCATTCAAACACCAAGACAAGATACCTCACCTGTTGAAGTTACAGATCGATTGGCAGAATGGTACATATCACCAAAACGGATACGCTGTCTGCCCCTTTCCTGCAATGTTGCCCTCTCATTCAGCAAGAAGACATGAACCTGTCAGCGTGTGACTCTGACTCTAAGGTGTTGTATCCACTGTGCATGGCTGTTTGTCAATGTTCAGTTATTTATATATAATTTTAAAGGACATCTAATTAGTGTGACCACGCCTCCTGCTCACGGGCAGAGAGGCTTGCAAACCACTTGTTTTCGGAGAGTGAGCTGGGTACTTTCAGCGGCCATTGCAATCCCCCTGACAGTCAGCTTGACACTGAGTGCATACAATGGATCTGGAAAAAGTGAAGTATACAAAAATGGCTAGGCGGGCCAAATAAAAGAAACTCAACATATCCCCTCCAATGTTTACTAGCTACAGGCTAGGGAACTCTTCTCTGCAATGGCTTGGTGCGTAGCCTGCCACTTTGAAGTTTCCTTTACATCATGATCAGAGTCATCCCCTTTCCCACGATCATCCTGCGCTTGCTCCTGTTTGGCTTTGACAGCTAGCCGACGTTGAAGCTCACGTTCAACAGCATCGTCGTCATCCGCGAGCAAAAAGCTGTCCTGGCGAAGCAAATTTGTATTTATATATACTTATTGTACTTATTATTCATAAGGTCATAAGGATATAACCTATATATAGATTAATATAACGCATCCAATTGTATACCTATGATCCTATGATATAATATACTACTCTCAGTTCAAGAAAATCTACAGTAAGGAATTGCCCAAAGCAAGCCAAACCAACACCTTACCTTAACAGCAAAGACCAAGAATCCACAGTGGGGCATTTCAAGCGAAATGCTGAAAGATACTTCTCAATGATCTCAAAGCTCGCGCTGGGCTGCAATGTGTTGTGAAAGCCGCAGAACCACAACCGAACCCTCCTCTGTGGGATCCCGAAATCCTGGGAAATCACCTTGTACACACGGACACGGTAGTTGCAATCGCGAAGCATCCGCAAGATGAAGTCAAGGTTTGATGCACCTGTACCCTCGTCAAGATCCACGTTTTCGAGAATAAAGGAATGCACTGTCACAGAACTTAAAAGCTCGATGCATGAACGGAAAGTCACAAAGGAGCATGAGTCCTTTCAGGAGGGTCAAGTCAAAACTATATTGAAAATTGACAATTGAAATTGAAATAAATAGAATCAACAAGTGAACTATGAAAGACAGTAGAGCCACCCCGCAAACTGACCGCAGGCATCATGCGTCCTCATCCTCATCTTGCATGGCCTTTTTGAAGGTCTCGTAATTGCCATTCAACTTGCTGAAGCTCTTGCAGGAAAATCCCCCATTGAATACATGCAATATGTCTGGAAGTTCCTGACTTCTGTGAGTTCTACTACACTGCACTGAAAAGTGATTTAATCTAAAGTGTTTTCCCCATAAAGAAGGCAGAAAAGCAAACACAGTGTGTGTTCTAGTTGGAGACAGAGCACACACACTGAATGTCCCTGTCCATGGCGCAAGCAGCGTTTCTCATCTGTAAGAACCTTCGTCACATCATGGAATAGGCAAGTGTCTTGGAATGGTTTTCCTGCAAAATTTGCAAGCAAGAACTTTTGCTTGAAACTGGCAATCTCGGCCATGAAATGGTGCTTTGCCTTACTTTGGCTAGTGGCAGAGCGTTGATTTGGAGTCAGGTTTATATGTCAGTTCCATAGTACAGTTCTCAGTTTCATTAATTAAGTTTCAACCTTCAAGTTTATGGCTTGCAGTTTAAGTTAAGTTAAAGTTTGAAAACAAAAGAAAGCGACGCGGGGGATTGTGGTCCAAGTTGCATGCAAGTCTTGTGCTATGTCTGGCAACCTCTCGGCGAGTGCATCCAAAGCTTCAATGATTGCCATTGTGAACGATCCAGTCCCCGAAAAATAGTCTCCCACTGAAATCTCAGTTGGAAGTGCTCGGACTTTGTCAATAACTCTAGTTTGGTTCATCTTCATCGCCCTGTCCACCATTTCCTGCAACAGTGCCACAGGCCAAGTTTCAAGTGTCATTGTTATGTGTCAAATCAAGTAGTACAACTTGAAAGAATGAATTAATTAATGAATGAATGAATAAAGTTAAAATTAAAAATTAAGATATAAATTGTAAATATCTAAATATATTCAAGCTGGAATGCCTCAGCAGCAGATGCGAGAATATCTTTGGGGTTCAAATCACCACTGCCAGGGTAGACTTTCTTCACCTTCTCAACCACATTGATCTTGGGTTTAGGCCTAAGCTTTGGCTTCGGCAAAGCTTTGGCTGTTGGCGCCGTAGCTGGTGGTAGCTCCTCATCATTGGACTCATCATCATTGTTGTCATTGTCATTGCCATCAGCAGTAGCATTGTCATTGTCAATCAGATCGGCAAGGCCTCTCTTCAAGCTTGCATGAGACTCCTGTGACTCTTGATCTGCCGCATGAATCTCCACAGGCTCTGGTGGAGACTGTCCCGCTCTCTGGTCTTCCTTATTGGCCTGATGCTGATGCTGCGTCTCCGTTGTTTCCACCTTGGGCACTTCCAGTTTTGCGGGAGGCTGAGAGGGCTGCGGCAAAGCAGTAGCGTGATCAGCTTGAACCGATGGCTCCACCTTGGGCACTGCCAATTCTGCCGGAGGGTCAGGCTCAACTGACTCAACTTTAACTTGAGCTGGAGCCTCCCGTACCATGCGTTCCACCTTGGGCACTTCCAATTCTGAAGGAGGCTGAGCAGGCAATTGAGTCTCCAGTGTCTGCTCCATCCCAG